ACATCAAGCTCAATTGGCATAACATACTACACAAAACATTGTTCCACCTCCTACTTTGGCAAGTAGCGACTGGGATTTTAAAAGCTTGCAAGCAACCATTTAGATGCAACGATGGGTCTCTCCTCATCCAGAGCAAAGAAGAATGAAGAAAACCAAAGATTCATGGAAAGAATTAGTCCTAGCGACTGATACACCATGCGATCCATAACCTATATGACTGTGAGACCAGAAGAACTAGATGGTGCCCAGCTACTACTGTCAACCACTAGAAGGGGGATCTATGTAGGAGATCCTGAATAGAGAGGGAGAACAATGTGGAACAAAACTCAAAGTCATTTGGAAACAAACAAACAGGGGAACCAGGTTTGCTGGTCTGATAGAGCCTGGTGGAACCACTGAGACTATGGCCCCTAGCTGCCCTTCAGGCCTGGAACTGAACCCACACCTGTGGCTTCCAGCCAAACAAAAGACAGGCATAGGAGTTGAACATTTACCTGAGGTAGATACATCCCTTGGAGAGAACAATCATGGGAGAAAGAAGGGCTGTTTATGCACCGGGAGACAGCTCAGGGGGCAGGGGTGCATGGAGGGATGGACACAGGGAAGAGGTGACAATTGGGAGGAAATGGGAGGGGAGCTTTTGCATTGTGGTGAATTGTGGTCAATGTCATGAGACAAAGTGTATGTGAACTGTTGTATGGAAAGTGAATTTGCTCTGTAAATTTTCACCCAAATCACAATTAAAAAAAGAAAGAAAAGAACTAATCTTATATCAAAACATCTAAAGGGGCAACTAATAACTTTTAAAAATATATATATACAACTGAATCATAGACCCAAAGAGGCTCAGATTTTCATGATCAAGTTACTAACCAACCTAATACTGTTCATCCATTGAAAATAAAAAATATAAAGAGAACATTTATTAACGTGGAAATATGCTTACATGTTCTACATTAATGAATAGCAGAAGAGCACACACTTTGTTATGCATGTGCAAAATGAAATTAAAATAGTGAACTGTATAAATGTAGACATTACAGATGATTATTTAAATTTATCTTATGTGGCTGTCATAAACAGTGTTCTCAAATTTGAAAATAAAAGGGTTTATGGCATCTCTGGTAGCATAGTGCCTAAGGCACTTGACTGCTAACCAGAAAGCTGGCGGTTCAAATCCACCAGCCACTCCTCGGAAGGAAGATTGGACAATCCTACTTCCGTAGTGATACTGCCTAGGAAACCCAAGGAGGGGTCGCTATGAGTCAGGGCCGACTCGACGGCAAATAACAACAACAGAATGGAAGACAAAGAAGAAATGACAAACTAAATTTAGGAAAAAGAATTCTAAGACAGCAGAAATATTAATCTAAATCTATGACCATATAATAAAAAGTAAAATGAGAAATATTATATTTGAATACACAGACTTTACATAGGATTTTCTAAAAATATTACAATAGAGCCTTTATGAAAATTTATTTGGTTTTATGAAAGAATTATTTATATGCTACTTACAAATGTGCCTCTGTGTGTGTGTATATACACACACACACACATACTTACTTTCTTTATAATTAAAATGTAAATCCAAGATAAAATATATATCCAAATTGTTTAGCAGAATAAAATATTATGTAAACTGTCACACTGTCATTTCCTTTGAATTATTTTATATGTGGCGTAGTGCCTAAGGCATTTGACTGCTAACCAGAAGGCTGGCGGTTCAAACCCACCAGCCACTCCTT